GGGGAAGCTTATTCGACTTGTCATTTTGATACGCACGGCACCTTCTGTTGATGCAACTTGGCGACATCAAGTCTGCTCTGTCCCTGAGCGAGGTAAACGCGGTTGAAATTACGGCAGAAAGCAACTGTGACCGTCTTCCAGTGGCCTTGCTGCAACGAGAAGCAACTTTGCAGTTGGCTGCCAGACTGAAGAAAAAGCAAATGCATTTCAAAGTGTCGTGCATTGTCTCCGCAACGAGCAGGGGCACTTCCGGAACATGACGTACGTATCTCAGATCTTCGTCGGCCTTGACACGATCTGCCTCGAACTGCGTCCCTAGCCATTGAACACCACCAACAACAAGACTCCATATTCTTACATTTCGATCCTCGGTAATCTGGAGGATCACAAGAACATGCTTTCCGAGATATGACGTCTCCGGCTTTCATGGACAGGAACTCTACCAGTCGGCATGGCATGCAAGGGCCCATTTTCGGGACTCCGCCTTGCCTGCAGCATCTCGGGATCAACTCGGGGGCACAACAAGAGCTGCTATGCCGTGCCTCTGAGAGTCAACTGGCAAACAGTCAGGATGGCTTGGCCAGGGACGTTCAATAATCCCTCTCGGGATAACTCATAGACCCAAGTGCTCGAATAGCAGTTCAACATGGCCGGATGATTGCTCCACTCTACTGAAGGCAAGATATCTACGACAAGACTTCCGAACAACGGGCACACAAGGAACCTAATTGGTTCTTTTAGAAGGAGAGTGAGATTCGCCACGATTGAAACTCGATGACCATCTCCGGCAGTTTCATGATGCCATTTTCAAATCAATCGAGACCTATCAGTTCTTGGGGTATTCTCGATCCAGATCAGATATTGAAACTTAGACCTCATCGTTGTCATATCTTCGAGAACAGGGGCTCGAAATTATTCACATGGAGGCTACCGGAGTCGATCTTCCTGAGCAAGTGGACAAAAGGGGATACAAAAGCTGACGAGGTGTCCCCGGTTGCCAACAAGGGCATTCCCGGCGGGATGCTGGACATAATGTCATCGTACTTCCGAGCCATCACTGCATAGTCGAGAGTGCACACGAGAACCTGGATTCGATGTACTGGCATGTGAAATAATCGTGGCGTGTTGCTTGCCTACCTAGGCGTACGGGAAGCATGCATTGTGCCGGTCGCTGTTCTCTGAAGCTACCAACATGGCAGAACTGATTAACACGGGTATTGACGGGCACATGATAGAGATGAAGCATGCACAACTGACAATTCAACAAGGGAATCCAGCAGCTCTAGGAAAATACGAGCAAGCACAGCCAAGCTGAGCTGCTCACGCCATCTTACGGCCACTCAAAAAGTGGATGAGGCATCCAAGTGAGGCAGTGCGCGCCCCCGCGGCAAGGCCTTTCGAAGGGTGGGTGACGTGAATCGACTGCTAAGGGGACAAAGAAAAGAAGCTCCAAACCGACTGTGTTGGTTGTATTGCACACGAGTCAACAACCTCGTTTGACGGACTCGGGACACGACAAGAGCTGACTGCACTCATGGCCATAAATGGTCGAGCGGTCTGAGCGCTCTCATAGTTACAGCACAGCACAGTCTTGTCCTGTACCTATCGGCAGCTGCATAAAAAGCAATCTGGTCTCTGGGCTAGAACAAGGCACCTGGGTTGCAACAAAAGCAAGTCGCTGCAAAAGGACCATCCCCGTCCATGGCCTGCATATTGGCCCTACACAGCTGTCCTATGATAGGCACCCTGGCAGACCAAACAGCCCAGTCAATGACCACGGTCGATCCTCTGTGGGGACCCTGGTAATTTCGCATGACGCCCTAATCCCTCAAGACGGCTTCTCCTAACCCTTGTCGAGCTGTCAAATGTGCAGCCCCAGTCAGTTTTTAACGCCGACGAGGACTAGAGAGTTGACCTGAACGGCCACAGCCATGCTGGACGGTGGACCAGGGAACTCCCACCGGACGCTACTGGTCATCGATGCCTTGAAGCGAGAAGGCTGGGCTCAGGTGAGGCGCCCGAATGGGGGAGGCCATGTGGCCCGGCGGGGATGGGCTCCTGGAAAAGGTTCCCCCGTCCGGGCGCGTCGCGGCATCTCTGGATTCCCCTTTGAGGCGTTTGCATGGTGGCCTTGTATGGACCTGGTCAAGCCCACAGCCATGTACGTATGTATGCCTGTGGCCTGGACCTTGACCTGGACCTGGACCCGGACCTTGTCCAGTCGTGTCTTGCCTTATGAGCGGCACCGCTGCGGCACCCGGAGCTGGTGAGACACGGGAGTGTCAACCAGGGTGCCAGATCGGGGGAGGCCAGCGACCGTGGCTGGCTCTTGGCCGGTCAGCCACATGAACTTGTTTGGCAAAGACAACTCCCTCAAGGCCCGAATAGGATGCCATGATTTGGAATTCGCCCAGGACGGTAATTGTCAGAAGCGCCGTTGAAGGACCGTCCCGTTCGGTTGAACGGCCAAGTCTCCCGCTGAACCCCCCGTGTCCGGAGAGCCAGCCCTCGACTGGCCGCAATCCTCCTTGATCGACGCCTTTAGCCTTGGACATTGCATGACCCCTCCTCATCTGCCGAATCTGTCCGGACAATGTCTGGCCTCGATGCGTCATGGGCTAAAGCTGAGCAGTTTCACACCCATTTGACACACCTCGAAATATGGGCCTCAAACCAATAGCCCATCAACCCGGTCCTCAGAAGCCCTGGCTCTGGAGATGACTTCGACTCACTTGTCGAGTCTCTGAATGCGAAAAATGTTTCAGCTGCTTGTCTAGAACTATTTGGATCTGCGCAATGACCTCAACTTTGCATGATCTGGCCACACTGTGAGACATGGCGCGCTCAATCACCAGCAACTGTGCGACTGGAATTGCGATATCGAGCCTCTTGCACCGTTCACCGCTCTCTCAACAACATAGAGGAGGGCATCTTGCTTACATGGTGGCATCAAAAGACACAATGAGGATGGCTTGAATGATACCCTACCGAGTTGTGTTGAGGACGACCAGAGCCTCACGAAGTTGCGGTCAACGGCTGGGCACAGATTCTAGACACTCACCCCGCGTGTGGTCTTGCAACAGGTATGTGTGAGTGGTGAGGCTCTACTGAGGGGGCATGATATGAGGGAATTGAGTTGAAGAAATCGAGTGATTGGTAGGATCTGAGGTTGGGCATGCCTGCCTAGGAACCCTGGGTGCTGCAACATCGCCCATATGTTTTGTGGGAGTTGTATGCAATATCAGGCCCTGATATAGGGCTGGTGAGATAGGGCTGGTCACGTATCAGATTGGATGCAGGTATTGGCACGATCGGGATGGTGTTTGGCAGGCTGTACCTGGATATCGAATTGTGGCATTCAGACCTGTCACACTAGGGCACAGGGTTCGTTCGCACGTGGAAATCTTCCTATTCGTTCTATACAAGAATGGAAGGCGGGATTAATTGTAGGCTTGAAGTGTATCTCTTGGTCTCTCTGTGTGATATATGGATGTCGGGTAGGATGGAGCGTTTTATTAACACCATTTCTGTGGAAGTGATAGCCCAAAACGACATTTTATTGAGCCTGGTTGCCCATATACATATGCTGCTTTTGTATCTGGCAACTATCTAAGCAATTACATTGATCCTCATACGAGGAGACTTCTAAGAACGTTGACTGAACGACATACGGTAGAGACAGTAGTACGGTTAAACCCAAACGGGACTCGGAAGGAACTTGGCAAAGATGTGAGCATCAGCACTGCCAGGAACACTCGATTGAACCTTTGAGTTACGGCATAGGGCACTTTAATGTTACTAAGCCCGCGTCCTGAGGGAGTTGCAGATGGACAGGGCACATCTTGGTATAATCGTCGGGCCTAAGCCCAGGCATCCATCGTGGACACGCTTGGAGAACAATGCAGTGATTTCTCTTATTGAGTATATTTCGTATAATTTATAGGGATAGGTTGTAAAATAACCAACGGCAAAGGAGTTGAACATGCTGGATGGCTTTGATGAAGGTCCGTCTCGTGCTGCGCAACTTCAGCATCGGGACTTGGACCGAACTGGATAAAGCGGTCCTACTTTTGCATGCTGTTTTGGGCATATAGTAAACTTATACATCTGGTTCACAGCTAGTACACGGAAGCTAGCCCTGGCAACGTTGGGTTTGCCGGAGTCAGACGGCTTGACGGGAATGGCTCCCTCGACCGGGACACCTGGGAGTAGAACTGGGCAGGTAAGTTACAACGATTATTTTTGCAATTTATGGGCTATGAACCGGGATTGAGTGAGAAAGAAACGAAGATGATGCATGAGAGGGGATCTGGGAAAAGTGAAGTCAATCTGCTCAACTAGCAAACATCTAGACATAGAAGATTCCTTAGAATAAGACACCGAAAGAATAAACCGGAGAACTGTGGTAAAGTTTTAACTCGTGACAAGGAGATCAAAATGCCCCTGGAGACTTCCGTGATTGCTCAGGCCCTTTTCATCCGAACCTATAACACACTCCACAGAGAGGCTCGATGGCGATGACTGCACTGTATATAGACCAGTTGGAAAGTTTTCCATCAGTACTCAAACTTTATAAGCATTTCAGCACCGATCACAGGTCAAACAGTAGTCAAAACAGGGCTCAGCGGTTACTCAAGGCTGTTTATTCTCCCAACGGGGATGCCACAGCGTATTCCTCACATATCTCTATCCTCAAATGGTAGTCAAAGAGCCTTAAAACATATGAAGGTTGCCTGATAATTTAAATAAATTGTTAGAAGAGTCTCATCACACCGGTCGGGAGTCAGATAATGACACGCGAGTGTTAAGGTTAAGTTCATGCAGAATGATCTTGTACCTGGGATGAAAAGCTTGACTGTGAATCACAGGAGCATTAACACCCGTATATATATGTGTGCGTATTCCTATACTTCTATCTTCTTTTCCCTTTTCTTATAGAAATGAACACCAAGATGTCGTTACAGCAAGAGGGCCATCTCGGCCAGTCCCTCCGCCGAAAGATGACATTTCCGCCTCTCGACAGCGAAGCCGCCGACGTCTGGCCTTCACGACTGACTATTGTTCAAGATGAAGCCTATGATTACAATTACCTTGGCGGAATGGGCCCTGATGACCTACATTCAGAGTTCCGGAAATGTCTGCATGATGCGATAACTTTGGCTTCGACTTCGACATCGACAACGTCAAAACAAGCTCTCGACGAGCATTTGGTCGATCTACTTTCCCGCATGATCTTCGGGTCCAACATGATTGAGGATGCCGGAGGGGGGTTAGGAATCACCCTCAAGCTTGGCGGAGTCATCTTTCGAGGTCAGCATGTCCCTGAAGACCGCAGTGCCGACTACAAAGTCTTGGAAGACCACCTCCGTCGCAAGGGTCTGCCGCATGCAGAAGAAGATGTCATCCGGGCCTACCGGGAGATAACACAACATGCCAAGGCAGCATACTATATCATCAAAGAGGTATGCCTGGAAGGAAAAGAGCTGTCCGAGGCCATAATCCTGGAAACGCACCGTCTCTTGACTTGCAATATTGACACCGACGGGATACCTTGGAACAAATACGCTGGCGTCTATCGAAAGTGGCCAGTATGTACTGGCTTCCATCAATACATGGCTCACAGCATGGTCCCTACAGCTATGAAGAACATGATCAGCTGTCTCTCGGACGACGTCAAGCTTGCAATTGACAGAGGAGAAATCGACCCGATAGCTCTAGCAGCCAAGTACTGCCACATCTTTGTCAACATTCATCCCTTCCTCGATGGAAACGGTCGAACGTGTCGTCTCATCCTGAATGCAATTCTCCTAAAGTATGGCGGTACTATCGTCTGCATTGGGGAAAAGGACGAGGATCGGGAGGAACATTTGCGGATTGCAAGCAACGCGAGCTTTGCTGAAGGAAACCAAGAGGATATGGGAGGCGTGCCAGAGGAACTTAAGCCGAAACACTACAAGGAATTGGCTTCGTTTGTGCTATTGCACGCTCGGGATAGCATGACCTTTATCCGGGAGCTGCTTGAGGAAGAATGGTGAGGATGAGAGCTGGACTTTTTGTTGCCTCAAGTTCTACTAAAGTATTATAAATTTAGGAGGGCGAAGGGCTCAATTCATGAGTATTATGGACTGAACATATGATGATGCTATGATGATCCGAGACCAGCTGCTGATGCGTGCTAGAGGAGCCGAACTTGGTGAACTCTTCTGACTGTGCTATGATGAATGAGACTTTGGAGCTCAAGGTCGTCAATATAATACAGTCATAGTGGTATGTCACTGCTTGTCTATTTTGCCGCTGATGATGCTTCTTGACACACCTGGAGTAACGAGTCCGACAATCAGGCATTTCATCATTGGCTGACGAGGGGAAACCACTCTTCTCTCCGGCATTGCAAATCCGGTTCTGCAATGGATGCATCACAAGCCGTTTAAAAGCCGCATCGAGTGGAACTACATCCCCACCGATGAACCCGACCGTACAAGCACATCAATGTTGTAACAGTCTATCTAGCTATCTTGGGACTCCTTTTTCTTATCCGTATTCTTTAGATACATCATGTACGAGTACCTGTAATCTCAACTGGCTCGTCTACGACCGGTTAATATGTACTCATGATATGATATCCTACAGATTCGCTCAAACCTTGTTGAGCTTCCCACCTCGTCTGGCATGTTACAAGACCCCCACACTCTTTCTCTGTTGACGCATCCCAGGACTCGGCATTACATTTCGTTGGCCGATACCGCGGATTACTCCATGATGATATCAGCCATCCATTATCTTCCCTTACCCCTCATCTGCGGTATAAAAGCGAGCCATCATCTCCCGGACTGCTCCTCTTCTTCTTTAACTCTTCATCAACTCATTGTTCCATTAAACAACTTGAATCACAGCTTTTAAAAACACCCCAAGGTTTGTTCTCGAAGCAAGAGATCATGAACCGGTCTGACACTTGTGACATGCTAGATATCATCCATCTGGTATGACAGTCCGTCGAGGAGTCTGCAGCCATGGAACCTTTCAGCGGTAGTGTCCAAACCTGAGCTTGGAGCCATATCAGGTAAAGTATCATGCATGAGCCGGTGCCCGTTCACTTTTTCTTTGACCATTGTCCATGGGCTTTTAGTCTGTAGACAATGGTGTCAAAGAAAAGGAGAGCGTGGCTGAGATTATACGGCGAAACTTGATCTGGATAATACCAGCGAAAGGATCATGCCCTCCTCCCACATTGACCTCCAGCCCCTAACATACTCAGGCCCAACATGTCTCCCCCCGCTGCCGTCTCTCCCACCACCCGCTCTGTTGAGCTCGCCGCCCCTGCCGTCAAGCTTCCTGTCGGCTTGAGCAAGAACAACACTACTGCCACCATCGAGGAGATGGAGGGCAAGTGGGATGACTTCAAGTTCGCCCCCATCCGTGAGAGTCAGGTCTCTCGGGCCATGACCCGCCGCTACTTCCAGGACCTCGACAACTACGCCGAGTCTGACATTGTCATTATCGGTGCTGGTTCCTGCGGTCTTAGTGCTGCCTACATCCTCGGCAAGAAGCGACCTGACCTGAGAATCGCCATCATCGAGGCTTCCGTGTCTCCTGGTGGTGGTGCTTGGCTCGGTGGCCAGCTCTTCTCAGCCATGGTCATGCGAAAGCCTGCCGATGCCTTCCTCCGTGAGGTCGGTGTTCCCTACGAGGATGAGGGCAACTACGTCGTTGTCAAGCACGCTGCCCTTTTCACCTCGACCATCATGTCCAAGGTTCTTCAGCTTCCCAACATCAAGCTGTTCAACGCCACCTGCGTCGAGGACCTCATCACCCGACCTTCTGAGGAAGGAGTCCGCATCTCTGGTGTTGTCACCAACTGGACTCTTGTGTCGATGCACCACGACGACCAGTCTTGCATGGACCCCAACACCATCAACGCGCCCCTCGTCATCTCCACCACTGGTCACGACGGCCCCATGGGTGCCTTCTCTGTCAAGCGTCTCGTCAGCATGCAGCGCATTGAGAAGCTTGGTGGCATGCGTGGTCTTGACATGAACGTGGCTGAGGATGCCATTGTTAAGGGTACTCGTGAGATTGTCCCTGGACTGATTGTCGGTGGAATGGAGCTTTCTGAGGTTGACGGTGCCAACCGAATGGGTGAGTCGTTACTCGAGTATTAATGATCAGTTACTAATTGGAACAGGCCCTACTTTCGGTGCCATGGCTCTGAGCGGTCTCAAGGCCGCTGAGGAGGCCCTCAAGATCTTTGACATCCGCAAGAAGCAGAACGCCTTCTAAGCGATGCGAACATGAAGGAGCCATGGGATAGGGAAATACACGACGATTCAGGAAACGTGAATTCAGGAGCCAGGACCTCGTCTCTCCTTTCGAGGCAATGGATCCTTGTCGCTCATTTTAGTCAAAGCAAGACAAAGGGTAGAGACCCTTCCAGAGCAGAATGAAACTGGATAGCTTGAATACAATGCTAGCTTGCTCTCACACTTTCTCGTTCAACCTGTGACGTACAATGAATGACCTCCAAGATAAACCATTCCCTTAGTCAGATTCGTCCTGGTCGAGTTCCTTTGCTTTTGGCTTCTCGGGTGGAAACTTCAACCCCCGCTTCCCATCATTCGGCTCCGTACTCGGACCCCATCCTCCGAGTCCGTCGGCAGCTGCCACGCCCCCCAGCCCCGAGGCGGGACCGGCCGCACGCCCAGCAAGCTGATTCTTGCCAACGCCGGGCTGCGTCTCGCCCCAGGCGTTGAGCTCATCGCGGCTCATGCCCGTGTACTTTTTAATGTCTTCGTCGCTGAGGCCCGGGCCGCGCTTCTGATCTTGATAGCGCTGGTAGAGGGATTTCTTTTGGGGTTGTTCTCCTGCTGGTGCATCTTTTGGTGTTTCGTCCGCGGGGGTGGAAGATTTGTTGCCCATGTTGAAATGGATGTGGTGATGATTGAAGATGTTGTTTTGTGAGGCGATGAGAAGAGTAATGTAAGTGATGAGAGGAAAGTATTACCTCTTGGCACGGGAGCAGCTGATACAATATATACACACACAACTAACAGCCTCTTCTAGAACGCTTCTACCAGGTGCCGTTCCAACCGATCAGCCCATGACATGCACTGCAAAGTCGGGCAACAAAGGCACCAGTAGCTGAAGGGGCTGTGCCCGGTCCCCGCAGCCAGCAAGAGCACGCGGTGCTTCCCCATGGGGCTGCCCTACGACGGAGGCATTCCGCCAAGCCCAATTGAAATACGAGCTGAGGGAGGCATGCGTTAGGTGCGGACCAACCTCGGCGGCTAGCATGGCGAGGCAGACAAGGAAATGATATTTGTAAGGAGGTTAGAGTTGAGTGAGTTGGATGCACACGATGCACGCATCGTAGTGTTGTGGAATGAGGGTATAATTGGGATATGCCTATGATGGGAGTGACTAAATACATCATGGCTCACATGTTGACTCGGTGACTTACTCCTCTCTAGGTCCTTATTTAGACGCTCACAGCTATAGAAGTAAATGCATCATCTACACAACCAAAACCATTTAATTCCTTATATCCCAAGTACTCTACCCTGACCACGCCAAAATCTACAAAATCCTCTAAAGATACTCCTTCTTGGCAACCCGCTCACAAAGCTCCTTGAGCACCTTACCAGCCCACTCATAGTCCTCAATCCCAAGATACACCTGCGCACTGATCCTCGCCCAGAACCGTCCACCATGAATAAACAGGCTCAGGAAAGTCTTGTAGTCATCGATGAGCGTTGTAAGCATCCACTGAAACGCCTTTTGCGTCTCGTCAGCCGGAACTACTGTGCCTTCTCCTTCTCCAGCCCAGAGAGGTAGGGCGACGTTGCCCATGCCGCAGTTTCGGAGAGTTCCTGTGCTGTTCTCCATGACGGGGGTGTTGAGAGCTTTGGCTACGATATCGGTGCCCTTTTTGTTTAGGTCCCAGAGGTACTTGAGGACAGCGTCTTCACCACCAAGCACGTCCTGACGCCACTTGATAGCATCCTTGACGCAGAGATAAGGTGAATTGTCGAGAGTGCCGACAAACTCAAAGTTGGTGACAAAGCGAGGCTTGGAGCTTGGAGGCAGCGGTGAAATCCTGTTGGCCAGCTTGGGCACGTAACCATGGCTGGTTGCCAGTGTCGTAGGCAGAAGAGCCTGGTTGCGTTGGGGTACGTAGAAGACGGCGCATCCTCGAGGGACGTGAAGCCACTTGTGACAGTTGGAAACGAAAAAGTCGGGATCCGCGGCTGAGAGATCCAACTTGACCATTCCGATACCCTGAGCGCCGTCAACCATGCTGAGAACATTGAGACGACGGCATGTCTTGATCATCTCCTCCCAGGGAAAAACAACACCAGGACGAGAAGAAACAACATCAAACGTGCAGATGCGAGCACGTTTTCCCTCCTCTTCAATCTTCTTGACGGTATCCTCAAACCTCTTGAGAATCACATCATCATCAATAGGATAAGTAATCTCAATCTCGCGATGCGTGACATTGCCCTCGTAGTAATCAGCAAGGTAATCAGCCACCTTTCCACAAGCTTCGTAAATGGTGGAGAAGCTGATGATGACGTCCTTGCCGTCCTTGTTCCAGGCCATGTTGCGGAAGACGGTGTTTACGCCGACGGTGGCGTTGGATACAAAGACGACGCCGTCCTCGGGGGCGTTGAGGATCTTTGCTACGGCGACGCGGGACTCATCGAGGAGTTTTGGGTATTCGTATCGGATAAAGACGTCAGGACGGGCTTCGCTGTTTTGTTTGTTAGTGAGGGTTGTTGTGAGGTGAGGGTGTAATAACTCGCCTTGCGTCTTGGTACTCGCGGAACTTGGCCTTGATGGCCTTGGGATAGGTACCAAAGGATCCTATAGATGTGAGTATAAAGACATTGAATATGATACAAGATATCGCACCATGGTTGAGGTTCCTCCACTCCGGGTCAAAGAGGAACTCGTCCTTCATGGCAGCGCCAAAAACGGAAGCGCTAGGCTTTCCCCTCAAGGGAAGTTCCTGTGTAACTGAACCCATTGTGTTTTATTGGTCTTGCTTGAAGAATATCGCAATGTCTGAAGAAACGACTCAAGTAATAGACTCTCGAGCTCTTCTTATACCTTCAGATGGCTCGAGTGAGTGAGTCAATTGCTAACCCCAAAGCGATAACCCCACCTCTTGAGCGTCAACGACGCCCTTGTGATACTCGACTCTATTCGCTGCGGGCCGTCGGTACCCGCTTCAGAGCGTCTTTAACTGAGATAAAGAGTCACTCCCTACTGGGTATTAATAATGGAGCATTTCACCTTGGAAAGAGTCATCTGATCGAATATCCGTTATCCCATTGTTTGTTTGTCTAGTTGATGGACCTTGTCCTATCATCGTGCCTCTGCAGATGAATCCTAGTATCCATTCCATCTCAAAAGAATAAAAAAAGCTCCGACATCTTGTCTCCCCCCAAACGCCTCATCATCAATGCTCGCTCTCGAGGACTTCCTGTCCCGAGTATATGTATAACTCTGATCGCTGGTATAAAAGCCAAAGAAGACGGCGTGGCCTGTCATCCATCATAAGCAAAACACCTCCCTCCTCTACCTATCTATTGGTGTTCCATCTCCCACCCCAGGATCGTAACTCCCCTTCAGCGTTTCCCGCAGCTGAGCAAAGCTCCATCAATCGCGCTGATGATCGTGTCTGAACACCTCTGGTCTCTGGGACCATCACACTTGCCGCTGGAGGATCTCGTGGGTGACCCTGGCTTAGCCTCGTAAGCGCCAGGATGGCCTCTCGTTCTTCTAGCGTGCTATCACGCTTCACCACGATGCTCACGTCTTCTGGCGTCGCAAACCACAGCTCCCTTGGCTTTTCCACCTGGGGAGGAGTTGACGGGTTCTGGTGAGCTGAAGAGTTGCCCATGGCAAATGCCTGACTTCTCGTAAAAGGCATCGGTCTTCGCATGTTAATCGACATCGATGTCAATGGTTCCTTCTGAGTCGACACTGGCGAGATTGACTGCAATTGGCCCGTCTCTGAGCACTTGTTCTGCGTGTTGTAGCCCTGGGAGAACAGCGAAGGTTCCATAGGCACTGGCCTGCCAAAAGGTGAAGAGATCGGACTTGGTGGCTGGGGCTTCAACGGTGGAAGCTGGATAGGGCCCAGTTCGGCCTCAACTACCTCAGGACTCTTCTGAGTCGTTCGACGCTTGCCAACCGTAGGCATCACCACCTCCTCTCCGTCAATCTTCTTGCGTTTGCGAACCCGCGGCTTTGATTTGACCGACTCAAGAATCGAGCTCTTGACAAGAGAGAGTCGCTCGGGTGTGATGGTGATGGGGTTTGCGAGCTCAAAGGGTGCTGGGACTGACACTGGCGCTGGCACTGGCGCTGCTGGCTGGGGAGGTTCAACTGGCTCAGCGTTGCGTCGAGTTCTCCCGTGATTCGGATTCAGAGTCGACGGGGTCGCCTTGGATCGTCCTAGATTCGCAGGAGCAGACTTGCGAGGCCGTCTCGCCCTAGTCCTAGGCTTGGGTTTGCTCGGAGAGCTCGACGAGGGAGTCTCAGAAGATGTAGATACTGGAGTGTCTGCCGTCTTCTCGACCACCTTCTCTGTCTTGTTCTCAGCCGTTGCGACTGTCGTGGTCACGGTTGTCGTTTCAACCACGGCTGCAGACATCGATGCCCTGCGTGCTGGGGGCTGGTGTCCAGAGATTCTGTGGAGCTCTTTTAATATCTTGAGCGTACAGTACGCCCCTGTGGCCTTCGTATCCCGGAGAGCCACAGGATACGCTGCAGGTGGCCGTTTCGTCTCGGTCTTTTCCCCGTCTTCCGTGAGACCGCTCGACTCGCGCTTCTTCTTGGGCTTGGGAGGCTCGGGTGCCTGCCACAGCTTGGGCACCTTGTCATGCAGATCTGCCACCCACGCGTCACAGTCCCACTCGATCCAATAGTCAATGATGTCGCCCCATGAGCTCTCGGGAGGCTTTGTGAAGTTTACAAAAACAACTTTTCCTCCCTTGGCGTGAACCGCCTTTGCAAACTCTCTGACCATGACTTTGAGGCCGTGGACTCGCAAGCTGGTTCCGAGGATGAGCAAGAGGTCCGGGCAAAGAGCAAGATCATGCGTCACAATCGGACTAATCAAGTGAGCATTGGGATGCTCTTCGCCATAAAGCACAATGTCAGGTCTGAGCTTGCCGACACCCAGGGCTCGCTTGCCTCTCTCTTCTCGAGCGGTCGTGGCACCTACACAGTGAGGGCATTCGGGTTGTTGTCCGGACATGGTTTCAAGTTCACGGTCTTGATCATCCCACGAGCAGACGCGTCCACAAAGAAAGCAGCGCAGGAGCTCTAAAGAGCCGTGGAGGAAGACACACTCCACACCTGACTTGGGCATTTCCCGACGAGCGTTCTTGGCTGGGGCTTTGGAAGCCTCTGGTTGAGACTGAGGCTGATCAGGTTCGCCTTGTGGTGGAGTCGTGGTGCCGTCTGACTGTGACTGGCTCTTCTGAGACCTGGCGGCCTCGGTATCTGAAGAAGAATGAGGCTTTTCTGATGAGCTGGATTCTGCACTTCCAGCCACTTCGTCAACCATCTTGTTCAGCTGATTCAAGTTGGCTGTCGACTTTCGTGAGAACCGTCCACGGCTACCGGGCCCATCACTGAGACAGGTCGACAGGCCAACCTTTTCCTCAATCTGATCAATGTTCTGCGTATAGCAGCGGACAAGCTTTCCCCGGTTCCTCAGATGACTGATGAAGCGATGTGAGCTAGTAGGCTCAACATCCTTGACTTTTTGTCGCAGGGTGGTCGCAAAAGTATAGAACACAGATGTCCGAATAGGATCCGCCCAGATCGACGCGTCAAACAAGTCCTTGCCCTTCATGTTCGGTAACGTATTCCTACCGGGGCCAAGGCTGGGCTGTGATGAGCTGATTGGATTTGAAGGGGGTGTGTCGTCGACCTCGGAGGGCGATGTGCTACATCGCCGGCTCGGGCTTCCTTCTGACGGAATGTTGGAGAATGGATCGAAGAGAACGGGAGGTGGTGACGAGAGAGGTGACGAGCTGGGAGGAACACCAACATCGGCCAAGTGGTCGTGACGCGATCTTCGGAAGGCTGAGAGCGGGATATTGAGGTCCTCTGGGGGAGGCGAGGAGAGAGGAGAAGTCATGGGCTGAGCCACGATGGTTGAGCGAGTTGTCCTGGCATTGACTAGCGGAAGTCGACTGCCATTCGCCTCCTCTTGATCGTCGGGGTCGCCTTCGACTTGGATCGTGTCTGCGATGACTTCGCTGTCGGGATCTGACTCTTCGCCCTGCACTTCGATTTCGTCCTTAATGATGCTCGTCTCTTCCTCTGTACTAGGCGCGTCGTCCACGGATAGTTTCCTTCGCTTGCTTGCCCTGCCATTGTCGACGTCGCTGGTTTCGTTGTCGCTCTGCGCCCCGAGTTGACGCGCCTGTTGTGCGGCCGCGTCGAACTGGGCCTGAATCAAAGAGTAAAGACCATTCTCGGAGCGGAAATCCTACAAGAGTCAGCAATCCTATTGTCCGGTCCAGAAATCGAGGCGAGGGCCCGATCTCGAGCTGCGAAGAGCGGGGGCGTTTGCGGAAGAAGCTCACAGGAATACCCGAGTTGGTACTGATTCCAGCGCCGGTGACGACGATGACCTTGCGGGCTCTGAGCAGGCCATTGGCGATATCCTGCAAAGCTTCTTGGGACTCGGGCCCAACGTGAGTGGTGGGCATCGTATCGTTGGCCGAAGGCGAAGCTCTTGCACAAAGAGCCCACCGCGTCGCGATATGGAGAAAGCGGACCGGGCCTCGTCCGCGGTCGCGAGAAATCGACAGCCGAGTCCACGATCTTATGAAAGCTCAAGCAAGAGATGCTTCGTCGTCATTGTGTTTTCGCGATTACTTAGCGATCCGGAAGCAGAGGCGTCGACAAAGAGTGAGGGTGCTGCGTGTGGGTGTGTGTAGTGGTGGTGGAGTGAGATTCCGGGTTAAAGATGGAGGCGTTTGAAGTTGGAGATGCGGCCCGGAGCTGGGGTCGCGAAGCGGAGAAGACCGCGCCGGCAGGGGATTTGAGATGAGCGTTCGTCCAGCCCGAAAAAGTAGGGATAATTCAAAAGAGATAAAGTCCAGGCAGGCCCGAATGCCCTCTCTTTTCGTTCTCTAGCCGTGGGTGAGGAAAAGATGAGCAGAGCAGGTCCAAAAACGCGATAGGATAATGGTCTAGGCCCACGGCAGTCATTGGAAAGGTCCAAGTGCCCGCCCGCTCTTGTTGATGTCGGGTCCAGTGACGCGCTTCTTACAGTACCTTAGCTAGAGGCAGAGGCTGGGCAGATCCGCTATCGATAAGGAACTCATTGCCCGGACTGAACCCCCGGGCCGTCTAGGTGTGGGAGGGGCGGCAGACCGCTAAACCGCCGGAGGCTGGGGCCTACCCTCAGTGATTATCGCACCATCAAGGGCCCTGTTCCTATTGATCTCTTGAGCGTTTTAGCGGGTGGCGTGTTTGGCTTTGCCGGGTCTCAGATCCAATCGAAGCTCCACCTATCACGAACCATCACATCACCCTGATCACAATGGCACAGTTGAGTTGAACAGGTGGTCTATGTATATGGGTAGGTGTTCTATTGTACAGTCTGCAGTGTTCGCTCTATCACTTCTCAGATATCTACCAGCACGTTAAGCAGCTTCTCAAAGTCATACGGCACTCCCAGGCCTGTGATGGCATCGTAGCCCTTTGCCGCAGGCCATCCTCCAGGAGTTCCGCCACCATGCTTGAAACTGCACGAAAGACTCTGTCCACCTGTGATGTCTTGGAGAACTGCTCGAACCTCGTCAGAGTAAAGCACCTCGTTCAGCCAACCCAAAACATCCTTGCCCTTTCGCACGCGAGCGTCGTTGATGAGAGCAATCATGGCTGCGACCACAGGTGTACTCGCGCTTGTTCCTCTGACAGCCTGCGTTGAACCAGCAACTTTGGTGATGAAGTTGGTCGACACAGCCGAAATATCCGGAACCGCTCTGTAAC